AGCTCTTTTATTAAGGATCGCACTGAAATTCAAATTATTAGGCTTCATAATTACGTTAAAATAAATCAACATTGGGTATGTTAAAATAGACAAGTTGGGTTTGCCTACCTGGGGATTGCATAAACCGAATGCATTATAATGTCAACAGCATGCGCGTGCTGCAAAAAATGAAGCCTAGGAAAACTTAAAGCAACTACCTAAAACTTGCACGTGTGACTTATTGAGAGGAGAATCAATGTCACATGTCCACCATCCTCAACTAAAGCCCTACTGATTTACAATCAAAGAAAGGATAAACAAGAGAATAAAACGAAAGAATTTAACACAAACATAATTGGTTACCCATGCTGTCGCAAGCCATGTCAAAGAGGTCTTAGAAATACAAGCACACACTATACATAATGATAGGTTCTACCCTTGCGCACTGGAGATGAAGACAATGCTCAGTATTCGCGAGATGAAAAAATGGAGCTAACCACCGATATTTTGGGTAAATGTGCTACCTACTCAATGTTTGCGAATAGGTTTCAGGAACTGTATTACTTAAATTGGCTTTCAATTTACCGAACCTTCACGCTTCACGAACTCCATTCGCATATCAGGCTCCTTGGAATGAGTCCTTCTTAAGTAAATCTACTCAATAAGGTTTCCTACGCATCGCCAATTTTAGTTTTTCCTCATTCATCTTTATTTTATTTTGCACTGTAATCAAACTTCAAGTGTTCTGCCACCCACTTCTGCCTTTCCTTCTAGTCTCAAGCTTGTTAGCTTAAGCTTCTGCCTCGAAATCTAAAATAATCTTAGTAACGGAGCAAAATAGCAGGTTACTTAGTGGTCCAACAGAATGTCTGCTTCTATCTGCGTGTTAACTCGCATGCGACAGTACTAAAGTAGTTTAAAAATAATTAAAAACCAAACCTATTTTTTCGCATTATTTGGACAGAATTTTACTTTACAATAGGAATTGCCAAGGCCACCAATTATGTCGGCTAGGAGAGGGAATATTAAGGGTAAAAACAGGGCGGTATATATGTTAGGGAATTTGGATTAGAATTTCTTAGGCAAATATTAGTTACTTATTCATGTTGGCTAAAGCCAAATAACACCACCACTCATTGGTCCTTTGGCGGACCAACGGGGGTCGACTTGGCTTTGCCTGAGGACATGTATGAACGTAACACTAGAAATTTCGTAAGCCCAGTAGACTCTGAAAGATGACTTATGTGTTAGTGAAGTCATGTTTGGCAGTAAATCTGCCAATTCGAAGCCAAATATGGGAGTATTTATTCCAAAA